GTATATGCACCAAATGCCAAGGCATCTAGCTAAGTGAAACAAGCATTAATGGACTTAAATGGAGAAATAGACTCCAATACAATATAGTAGGTGACTTTAATACCCCATTAACATCAATGGACAGATAAAAAAAAAAAAGAAAGAAAAAAAGCAAACAAATTCAGCAAAGAAACAACAGAACTCGGCCAAACTCTAAAGCAAATGGACTTAGTTGACATCTACCAAACCTTTCATCCTACAGATAAAGAATACACTTTTTTTTTTCCATCAGTACATGGAACCTTCTCCTGAATTGGCCATGTTATAGGCCATAAAACAAGCCTCAGCAAATTTTAAAAAATCAAATTTATACCACGCATCTTCTTAGACCATCATGGAGTGAAGCTAGAGACCAAGAAGTCAAGACACCCAAAAAGACTTGCAAACACATGGAGAATGAATAATATGTAACTAAATGAGCAATGGGTTAGAGAGGAAATCCAAGAGGAAATTTTTAAATTGCTTGAAACAAATGAAGGCACCAACACAACATATAAAAACTTATGGGACTCAAATAAGGCAATGTTAAGAGGAAAGTTCATCTCAATCAATGTGTATGTTAAGAAACTAGAAAGCATCAAGTAAATGAGCTAACCTTACTGTTGAAGGAATTAGAAAAACAATAGCAAAGCAGTCCCAAGATTACTAGGAAAAAAGAAATAATCAAAATAAAGGAAGAAATAAACCAAATAGAGACCAAGAAGACTGTACATTAGATCAATGAATCAAAGAGCTAACTAAGACATACACAGAATTATTAGGAACTATCACAAACAAGTATATGCGAACAAATCAGAAGACCTAGAAGAGATGGATAGATTTTTGGACACATACAATCCATCAAAATTGAATCAAGAAGGAATTAACAATCTAAATAGATCAATAACATGCATGGAGATTGAATCAGTAATTAAGGTCCTCCCATCCAAGAAAAGTCCTGGACCACAAGGCTTCAATGCTGAATTCTACCAAACGTTTCAAGAGAAACGTTACCCTAATCCTCCACAAGGTTTTCCTAACAATAGAAAGAGAGGCAATTCCTCCAAATACTTTCTATGAAGCTAATATCACCTTAATACCAAAGCCAGATAGAGAAACAACAGAAAAAGAGAACTACATTGATGAACATACATGCAAAGATCCTCAACAAAATACTAGCCAACAGGATCCAACAGTACAAAAGGCAGATCATTCACCCAGACCAGGTGGAATTTATCCCAGGCATGCAGGAATGGTTCAACATATGCAAATCAATAAATATGATACATCACATCAATAAAATGAAAAATAAAACCATATGATCCTCTCAATAGAAGCAGAGAAGGCATCTGATAAAATCCAACACCACTTCATGCTGAAAATCCTAAGCAAGATAGACATAGAAGGAACATTCTACAACACAATCAAAACAATTTACAAAAAAACCAATGCCAAATGGGGAAAGATTGGAAATCTTTCCACTAAAATCTGGAACTAGACAAGGATGTCCACTGTCACCACTACTCTTCAATATAGTACTGGAAGTCCTTGTCAGAGCTATTAAGCAAGAAAAAGGAATTAAAGAGATCCAAATTGGAAACAAGGAACTGAAATTATCTCTACTTGCAACGACATGATTTTCTAGATAGGAGAACTGAAAAACTCAGTCAAAACACTACTGGAACTCATAAGAGACTTCGGTAGGGTACAAATAATTCCATGGATGGGAAAGAAATTGTAAGTACAGTCCCCTTTAAAATAGAGGAGAGGAATCATAAATACCTAGGAATTAAGCTAATTAAATATATGGAAGACCTCTATGACAAAAACTATAAAACATAAAAATGGGCCTGGCACAATAGCATAGTGGTTAAAGTCCTCGCCTTGCACGCCCGGGATCCCATACGGGCGCCGGTTCTAATCCTAGCAGCCCTGCTTCCCATCCAGTAACCTGCTTGTGGCCTGGGAAAGCAATCAAGGACTGCCTAAAGCCTTGGAACTCTGTACTCATATGAGAGACCCAGAAGAGGCTCCTGGCTCCTAGCTTCAGATCGGCACAGCTCTGGCCATTGCGCTCACTTGGGGAGTGAATCATCGGACAGAACATCTTCCTCTCTGTCTCTCCTCCTCTCTGTATATCTGCCTTTCCAATAAAAAAAAAAATCTTAAAAAGAAAAAAACTATGAAACGGAGAAACTTACCATGTTCCTGGATTGGCAGGATCAACATAATCGAAACGTCCATATTACCAAAATCAATACACAGATTTAATGCAATCCCAATCAAAATCCCAACACCATTCTTCTCAGAAACAGAAAAGATGACACAAAAGTTCATCTGGAAGAACAAGAGACCACGAATAGCCACAGCTATCTTGAAAAATAAAAATCAAGCTGGAGGAATCACAATTCCAGGTCTGAAGACATACTACAGAGCAGTGGTCATCAAAATAGTCTGATGCTAGTACATAATAGAGAAGATCAATGGAACAGAACAGAAACACCAGAAGGCAGCCCACACATATATAGTCAACGAATCTTTGACAAGAAAACTGAAAACAATCCAGGCAAAAAGCCTGGTCTATTCAACAAATGCTGTTGGGACAACTGGATAGCAGCTTGCACACCTGTCACATTATACGAAACTTAGCTCTAAATGGATCAAGGACCTAAATCTACACCCAGAAACCACCAAATCATTAAACGAAAACATAGGAAGCACACTCCAAGAAATAGGAATGGGGAAAGACTTCTTAGAAAAGACGTCAAAAGCAAAGGCAGTCAAAGCCAAATGAGACTGCATCAAACTAAAAAGCTTCTGTTCAGCAAAGGAAGCAATTAACAAAGTGAAGAAGCAACAGAATGGGAGAAATTTTTTGCACACTACACAAATAATAGGGACTAATATCCAGGATTTACAAAGAGCGTCAGAAACCTAGTCCCTGTCCCCTAGTATAGGCCTCAGAACAACATACAACTGTCATTCTTTCACCAGATACAGAGGTGCTCATATTTATATTTATATGTATATATATGTTATATATATGAAACATTAGAAAAAGGTAGAATAGGCAAAAAATCTAAACTTATGCTAACCTTCTATTCACTTGTTTTCCCCTCAATAGGGAGGGAGAACTCAATCTTCAGCCTCAGATAATCCTCTCATCATCTAGAAAACACTAATTTAAAACAGCACCATCATTTTTTTTCATAAGGCAAAATGGGACAATGCTCTAGGGAAAAATTCATGGGTACATAAATACGCTAGATTTGTTATTTATAAAAATGTCATTAGATTTTTAAGGTATTTATTTTATTTGAAATAGAGAGAGAGAGGGAGAAAGAGAGAAAGAGCTCTTTCATTAGCTGGTTCATTCCTTAAAAGGCTGCAATGGTTGGGAAGCAGGTTCCCTATGGATGTAGGGGCCATCCTCTGTTGGTTTTCACAGGCCATTAGCAGGGAGTTGAATGGGAAATGGAGCAGCCAGAACTAGAACCAGTGTCCATATGAGCTGCAGGCACTGCAGGTGGAGGACTAAGCTTGCTACACTATCATGCTGGCTCCACGTCTGAAGATAATCTATAAGCAAGATTTTCTTTGCAAAAATTTCTGAGTATATCTTAGCATTTGAAACCTCAGACAACCAAACAATATTTGGAAGCCCAACAATTTTTAAATAAAAATTATGGTGATTTAAATTTTTTTTTTTTTACAACAAAAAGGTTATATGGAATTTGAAAGGATTTAAAGAGGATATTGATTCTGTAGAACAGAGATTCCAAAGTGAGATTGTTCCGGTCCATGGTGGCTTAACACTTCTGTTTCCAAGAACTCTTTCTGGTCCTTCCCAAACGAACCTACTCTCTTCTGGGTCCTCCTAAAGCAGCAGAGGACAGAGCAGGCGCAGAAGGACTCCTGTTTCTGAAAGTGTGAGATTCACAATTTCTGAAGGAGCAGACGATTCATGGAGAGGCTGTCAGACTTGAAGGCCACTCATTGAAAGGTTGTTTAGGAAACGTTTGGAGTCTTTAAACAGGAGCATCAGTTGACTATATTTACATTTAATAAAGAGATAAGTTTGTCAACTGTGCAAATGCTCGATTGGATTGGGGGACCGGAGAGTCCATTGCAGGAGCCTGGGCAGGAGATGGTGGTGGCTGGGACCTTGGTGGTTGGGAATGTAAAGAGAAAGAGCTCCCAGGCTGTGGTATAGGAGGGCGGCGATTGTTGAGGATGGGAGGGCTTCACTCTGAAGGGATAAAGGAGGGAACATTTCACATTTTAACCATGGGACCGATGATCCACTCCAATAGGGTTTTATAAATAGACTGCTTCGCAGAGGGTGATGACAAGACTGTCAGAGGCGTGTACAGGTAAGAGCCGGGATCTCGGCGGGGCGGGAGCCGCGTCCGCAGGGACGTGCGGGACATCAGGGGTTTCCTCCTCGCGCGGGGCGAGAAGCCAAGCTGTCAGCTCCAGAAGCAGAAACTGACGCAGCCCCAGGAACAGCTGCCGGTCGAGGGGCAGGAGAGGCCAGAGGCGCCGCTAGGGCCGCCCTCGGCTCCTGGCGCCGGGGGCGGGCCCAAGGCACGCACGGCGGGATGACGCAGGCTCCCCGCCGGCCTCCTTCTAGACACCGCCGCCGCCGCGCTGAGGCGGAGTAGGATGAGGCCCGCGTCCGCGGCGCGGTTGTCGGCGGGGGCAGCAGCAGCAGCAGCAGCAGCAGCTGAGGCAGCAGCTGAGGCAGCCGCGACGGCCGCGCCCCCCGCTCCTGACCTGGATTAAGCTCGGCAGCCCCGTGGCCGCCGCCGCCGCCGCCCCGCGGGGGGGCGGGGTGGGGAAGTGTCTGGTCTCCCCGCCCCCCCCCGCGGCGCGGCTCGGTCGGAGGCCCCCGGCGCGACCCCAGCCGAGCCCGCGGCCCGGCCCTGAGCCCCCACCCCCGGGGGCTGGCATGAGCGGCCCCTCGGCGGTGCCGGGGGGCGGGGGAGCTGCCGCCGCCTGAGTTCCGGGCCTTGGCCCTCGACCCGCGCAGCTTGCGAACGACCCCCCGCTACTTACTGCTCTTTTCCTTCTCCACCCCCAACCTCCTGCGAACCCCCCCAAGATCACACACACCCGCCCCGGAAGATGGGGAACTGCCTCAAATCCCCCACCTCGGATGACATCTCTCTGCTTCACGAGTCTCAGTCGGACCGGGCCAGCTTTGGCGAGGGGACGGAGCCGGATCAGGAGCCGCCGCCGCCATATCAGGTAGGGGAGGGTGTGTGTGTTGGGGAAGGAGGGGCGCGAGTGCTAGGGGCAATCGGGCCGAGATTGGGGGGTGGGGGGTTCGCGGCTGTGTCTGCCCCTTGGCCTCGCGAGGCCTGCCGGGCGAGCGTGACCCGCTGAGGGCTTCTGCTCCTCGTTCGAGAACAGGGATGTTGCTTCACCTCCCGCTCGGGTACGCGGAGCCGGGTGCTCCCCTGTCCTTGAGTTCTGGGGTTAGGATATGTGACCCTGTTCCCTTAACCAGCATCTTGGGAGGAGGGGTTCACTTGTGGAAGTTTGGGAGTGACAGTTGTTTTCCTGTCTTTATGTCTGCATCGTATGATTTGCTTATCGCATTGCCAGCTGGATTATGGGTTGGGGAGAAGTGGCTGCCCCCACCCAGCCCGTTTATGTTTTCATGTGATCACCCCCCCCACACCCCGTCTTTGTTAATAGGATCTGGTAGGTGTTCGTTTCTGCAAGTGATGATCTTAGTCGCAGCGACTATTATACATTTGTTTATACACGCACGTAGTTTTACTCCCTCCTCCTTTGCCCCACCCCTATGACATATCTTTTAAATGTGCTGACTTAATAAAAAGTTGATTATCTTGAACTTTGAAAGCCTTTTACCTGACTTCGGACTTCTTGGGTTCCTTGTGTATCCGAGACTCTCCTAAATAGGTTTCCTTGCTTTTGGTGCCATCCTCAGCCTCAGTTGGGTTCAAGAATTAGTGAGGAAGTGTGACCTGGCAGATGTTAGAATCCATAATACTTGGGGAAAGTTTTCCTCTGCTTCTCAGTTTTAAATACTGAGTGAAAACATCTTTGACTCCCCGCCCCCCGGAGTGATAGTCCTCGGTGTTTTCTTCCCGAAGGGTGGTATAGTTTTTTAAAACTAAAAACTCCTTTGTTGTTTCATGTGGTGACCTCATTATCTAGTGTTTTCTTTTCTCATACCTGTGTCAGCGAGTCTCTCATCACAGCAGAGAAACCTGATCACATACATGCTGATTTTCTGACTAAAGCCCTGCGGGTTCAGTCTTCATTGTGCCATCCCAAGACCTTCATGACATCTCTGGCATTCTGTGTTCCAGACCACCCGATGTTGGCCCTTCTCACCTCTGCCTTTGCTCCAGTTGCAGTCTCCCTTCCCCCTCAGGTCAGCCAGGTGGACACCTAATCCGCCTTAAGGACGCAGCTCTGGGATCTGAAGTTGTGCGGCTTCCTTCTCTCTTCCCCTGAATCTCTTGTCTACATCCAAGGGACTGAACTTGCAGGGCCCGTGATACTTTAGTGGTAAATCTTTGTTCAGGTGGATGTCTGTCGCATGCTGAGCTGCTCTCTGCCTCTCGAAGTTGCATGAAAGTAGGGACTGCGTTTCCAGTTTCCTGTGATCTCCATTTACACGCCAGCTCCTCCTAGTTGTCCCAGGGATCAAGTTAGATGTTGGTCCAGGTATCTTTGAAGCCGGTAAACTCTTCTTCTTTCCCTGTTTCTTCCCCCACCTCCTATAGACTGTATGACAAAGGTGCTTATTTTTTTAGAGATAAAAATTTTTATTTCATTGTCCCCCTGTGGTCCCTAATCCTTTCCTAAGCAAATTGAATTATCTTTGATTTGTTACTGTCTTAAAAAGATAGTTTAATCTTAGGATAAGTTTAGGATTATGGGAAGTGCATTTGCGCTTTCCAGAGGCTGGGTGGTGATGAGGACTTTTTGGTATCATGCACAGGTTTTTGGAAATGTGGTATCTTTGACAGTGGCTGTTTTTGTGGTTGCCCTTTTCTGAAGTAAATGACCCAGATACTGATACAAAATTTACTATCAATTGGAAGAAATAATTACTTGAAAGATGAAGCAAAAATACTTAAAATTGCCCACCTAAAGAATAGTTTAGAACAGTTATTTCAGGCAATCTCAAACATTAATTGAAGGTAAGTAATTTACAATATTTCCAGTTCAAAAAGTAACTTTTTTCAAGGAACAATTTATGATTAAAATACTAGGCTGTGGGAATATTGGTTCATTGCTTTAGTTCTAATACAATGAGATATTTAAAAAGAAATAGCTTATTACACAAATAAGCATGTGCAGTCATTTTGTGTTTAAGTTGTACAGTGTACACATGCCAGGAGCTCTGCAAAGTAGGATCTAATTGTTTCCTATTGGAATCTGACAGTTTTGCTGTCATATTTGCTTAAAAGTTCTGTGCAATATCTATTTTGAGGCAATTGCAATTCAACATCTTAGAATTATGTGTAGGGGACCCTGCACAGTAGCCTAGTGGTAAAGTCCTTGCCTTACACCGGGATCCCATACGGTTCTAATCCCAGCGGTGCTGGTTCTAATCCCAACGGCCTGCTTGTGGCCTGGGAAAGCAGTCGGGCAGGCCCAAAGCCTTGGGACCCCGCACCCACGTTGGAGACCCAGAAGAGGCTCCTGGCTTCTGGCTTCTGGCTTCAGATCAGCGCAGAACCGGCTGTTGCAGTTACTTGGGGAGTAAAATCATCAGGTGGAAGATCTTCCTCTGTGTCTTTCCTCCTCTCTGTATATCTGACTTTACAATAAAAGAAATAAATAAAATAAATCTTTAAACAAATTTTTTCCAAAAAAAACCCCAAAAACTGTGTATATTCCTAGTCTAACCTGAAACATCAAATTCTAGTAATATTAAGTGGAAATTATTTATTTAGGGTTTTTAAAAATTATTTAGGGTTTTTTTAACCCTGGTTTTTATCACCTGAAGTTATTTGTTTTATAATGATGTGCTTAATCCCTATTCTTAAAAATATTGGCAATGAAGAGATCAGTGTTTTTCTTGAAGGACAGGGTAGAAATGAATTTAGCACAATTACCCAGTTTTTTTGTTAAGATTTATTCATTTAAAATAATTAGAGCCAGCGTGGAGGAAAGAGTGAATCATGCATCTACTGGTTCACTCCCCAGATGGCCTCAGTGGCTGGAACTGGACCAGGCTGAGGCCAAGAACTTCTTCCAAGTCTCTCACGTGAGTGGCAGGGATCCATGTACTTGGGCCATCTTCCTCTGCCTTCCCAGGTCACCAGCAGGGAGCTGGATCTAAAGTGGAGCAGCTGACTTGAACTTGTGCCTCTATGCACAGCTGTTGTCATAGGCAGGCTTCACCCACCATGCCAACTGTACTGGTCCAGGTGTACCCACTTCTTTCTGAATGCATAAAAGTGGGAAGATTGTCTTGTTGGCAGTGCAGGGAGAGGGAGGTTAAGGCATGAAAGGCTGAGGAATGAAGTTCTGTCAGAGGAAGGGACCCAGTAGGCAGCCAGAGAGATTTATGTGAATGAACAGCTTCAAGTATCCTGATTAGCACTTTCAGAACCCTGTGATATGCTAATTCCGAGGGCAACATTCTGTTAAAGGAACTTGATAGACTTAAACAACAAATAATTTTAGTTTTTCAGTGTAGGTGTAGATAGGATTTTCTCAGTTTTGTAGCAGCTATATAGTATATTGAAGATTTTCCATTCTTCCCCCGTCTTAAATACTATTGGACTAATACTTTAGAGCTTTTAAAATCAGAAGAAAATAACATAGTACTGGTTTTGGAGTCAGATGGACCTCTGGATATGCTATTTAGATGTAAAATGTGAAAAAGGAAGGAGAGTTTGTCAGATTGTACTTTGAGGAACTTTCTTTACGGATAAAACGTTTTTCATGTTTCTCACCATGACTAGATAAGTTTCCTCAAAGTCCTTTTTAAGACTTGTTCTAGCCTAAGAACACAATGAAAGTTACCTGCCCATTAAAAATTGTTTTTAAGTGTTCAGAGCTGTAAATATTGTATTAATGTTTCTCCTGAAATCTTAGGAAGTTATTTTCACATATTGAAGAGGTTCTTTTTTTTTTAATGAAAATTATGGTTTCGGTCATTCTCTACTGCTTTCCCAGCCACAAGCAGGGAGCTGGAAGGAAAGTGGAGTACCCAGAACAGGAACCTGTGCCCATATGGGATCCTGGCCCTTGTGGGGGGAGGGAGATGAGGCAGTTAAGCTGTTGTTCTGGACCTATTATTAAGATTATAATATTGATTAATTAATGATGGTCCTGGCGTGATAGTCTAGTGGCTACAGTCCTTGCCTTGAACACGCCGGGATCCCATATGGGTGCCGGTTCTAATCCCGGCAGCTCCACTTCCCATCCAACTCCCTACTTGTGGCTTGGCAAAGCAATCAAGAACTGCCCAAAGCCTTGGGACCCTGCACCCGTGTGGGAAACCTGGAAGAGGCTCTTGGCTCCTGGCTTCTAAATTTGATTTTCCAGTTGAAAAAAAAAATCATTAAAAAAAGTCTCAATTTGTTTTTCCAGAACATAATTTCCTCAATGAAAATAAAACATTCAACTTTAAAAAAAAAAACCCTCAGTGGAGTAGTATGACGTCCTAACAGATTGAAGATACTGACTTAGAATTGTGCTTTCCTCCATGCTCTCAACATCATAATTGAGGCCCTCATTAGTTTTCAGAATAATAAATGATGTCTCCTCTGTCCCATTCAGTTCACTCTGTGCTGCTAGATGAATTCTGTCCCAGATCATATCCCTTGCTGCTTTTTTTTTTTATAACATTTATTTATTTTTATTGGAAAGGCAGATATACAGAGAGGAGGAAAGACAGGAAGAGCCTCACTCCCCAAGTGACCACAACGGCTGGAGCTGAGCCAATCCGAAGCCAGGAGCCTCTTCTAGGTCTCCCACTGCATTCCCAGGCCGCAAACAGGCAGCTGGATGGGAAGCAGCGCTGCTGGAATTAGAACCGGAGTCCATATGGGATCCTGGTGCGTTGAAGGCGAGGACTTTAACCACTACGCTATTGCGCCGGGCCCCAGATTCCTCACTTCTTAATGACTCTTTAAGGCTAATCCCTGCAGATCTCTCAGCATTCAAAATTATGATCTGAGTCTTGTTATTTTTCTAACTGTTGCCTTGTATTCTCCTTTATCCAGTCAGATTGAAGTTTCCTATATCCT